GACCCTCCGACAGTGCCCACTCCCTCAGCACTGACCCTCCGACAGTGTGGTGCTCCCACAGAACTGACCCTCCAACAGTGCCCACTCCCTCAGCACTGACCCACTGACAGTGCGGCTCTCCCTCAGCACTGACCCTCGACAGTGCGGCGCTCCCTCAGCACTGACTCTCCGACAGTGCGGTGCTCCCACAGCACTGACCCTCCGACATTGCGGCGCTCCCTCAGCACTGACTCTCCGACAGTGCGGTGCTCCCACAGCACTGGTGAGCAGGAATGTTGAGCTGAATATTATGGTCAATTTTCCGGAATGGGACTCGAACCCACAACCTGCTGGCATGGATGGCATTCCCTGAATCACATGCCACCTGATGTCGATGCCTGGCTGGAATGAAAACTTACAAAAAGTAAAAGGCGCCTTTCATCTTCCTGGGGTACAGCCTCTAGAAACTCCCTGGCCTATTGGCCTGAGCGGAGGGTCAATGATAGAGGACATTGCACAGAAGCTTAGCAATATTTGCCCTCCCCCAGGGAAGACTGCACTGTTAGGACAATCCCTAAATGTGGGGATCCTTCTCTCTTCCCACCCTGCACCTTCCCCCCAGGAAAGTGCTGTCCCTTTAAATAAAGTTTGGTCAGGTATCGTAACCCCACGTCCCTTCTAAAAATACATTCAGGAAACTCCAGGCTAGCATACGTGGAGCAGTGCAAGAGCTGTAATTCACTCGGAGGCTGTTACTGAAGTAAACAGCTAACTGGCTATTTCCAGGGCTGGTTATTTACTTCCCCCAGAGTGTGGCAACCACCACCCATGTCAGAGGCTTCTGCAGCTTCAGTGTTTTATCTCAATAACAACTCGATGAAATTCAACTTGTCGTGTTCCTCATTGATAAATCCCTGGTGGGAAGAGACGAGGAGAAGCTGACTGGTCTTAAAGAACATAAGGGTTGGCTGGGGCAGTGGTGGGGCGGGGGGGTAGTGGTGGGGGGGTGGTGGTTAGTTTCTGTCCAGGGCGTTTCTGCTCTGCATGAGTGGCGAGAGACATGACTCTGACGTTGGTTGGTCCAGCGCGGCTCAGGAGTGTTGGCCCAGCGGCAAAGATGGCGCCTGAGGATTGGCGCTTTCGATGTTGTTTGGGTCCGGTGTAGATGGCGGCCAGGCGGTGGCAGTGCAGGCCTCGTTGACGGTGATGAGCTGTCCCAGGACTGACTGATGGGCTCTCCTCAAGCTGTACCTTTTTCTTTTGAATCTTCATCTTAAATTATTCAAAATGGCACCATATCGTGGAAAACTTTTTGTTGTATTCCTATAGAAAATACTCGTGATGATCAAAGCAAAATCAGATCTCCGGGCGCAGAAATTTTCACCTGACCTCAGTCCTCAACGGCCTATCCCATGATCCCAGCTTCTGGACTCCCTGATCAGTAGGAACATCCTTCCTTGTTTGCCCTGTATAGTCTGTTGGAATTTTACAGCTCTCTATGAGATCCCACTGATTCTTCCCCTTTGAGGCACAGAGTTCCAAAGACTCACAGCCCTCTGTGAGAGAAAAAAAACTCCCTTTCTTTTAAATGGGCGACCCCTTATTTTGAAGGTGGTGAACCCTAGTTCTCGGTTCTCCCACATGAGGAAACATCCTCTCCCACATCCATCCTGGTCAGGGATCCTCAGGATCTTATATGTTTCAATCAAGTTGCCTCTTACTCTTCCGAACTTAAGCAAGATACAACCCCAACTTCTCCTAAGACAAACCGCCCAGTTCACGGATTAGATTGGTAAACCTTGTCCTAACTGTATCCATTGTATTCACATCCTTCCTTAAGTAGCGAGACCAACACTATGCGGTTCTAGGCTTCAGATGTGAGGAATGTAGATGTGTTGGAAGCATTTCCAAGAAGGGTGACTGGATTGATATTGATAGTCCCTATGTCCTCCTGTGGAAACATCTTTAGGTTCATTCCATCTTTGCTTTCCACTACACCGCCAATTTTGGTGTCATCTGCAAACTTACTAACCATCCTTCCTACATTCACAGCCAAAAATTGATATAAAAGCAGTGGACCCAGCACCGATCCTTGCGGCACACCGCTGATCAGAGGCCTCCAGTTTGAAAAACAACCCTCCACCACCACCCTCTGTCTCCAACCTTCAAGCTTATTTTATCTCCAAATGGATAGCTCTCCCCGGATTCCACGTGATCTAACCTTGCTAACCAGGTTACCATGTGGAACCTCGTCGAATGCCTTGCTGAAGTCCATATCAACAATGTCCACCGCTCTGCTCTATGAGGTTAAACACTTCATTAGGAAATGGCATTTGGGTTTGTGTCATCCTTTCAGGCCCTGGACGTGACTCCAGTTCCTAACAAAATTCTTCAGTGCCCTGCCAGAAATGGCCAGTTAGTTGTGTTTAGCAGAGCAAGGTTCGCCTTCTCAGGGAAACAGAGGCTAGACAGAAACAGCCAGACCATATCCTGACAACGAATCTGAACGAAACCCAAAGTTCTGACATTTTGCAAGATTTAGGAAATGAATCTGTAGATGTGAGGCCTGCTCAGGATATGTAGTGAAATCTTTGGACGTTCCCAAAACTTCCATAAAAACCGAAAGAACTGCAGATGCTGTACATCAGAAACAAAAACTGAAACAAAAAACAGCAATTTCTGCCTTTGTTCCCAATACTTCTGTGCTTTCTGAAAGAAGTCAAATTCTAATTTAGATGAAGAAAAAGCCTTGAGGTTGTTGTTCCCAGGATGAATAAATTTCTCCTCAGCTGCTGGATATTCGTGTACACTGGAAACTCTTACCAACTGGTCCATCAATGTTACAGTTATATATATTTTTGAATCATAGTGGTTACAGCACAGGAGGCCACTCAGTCTCTCATATCCATACTGGCTTTCTGCAAAGGTGACTCAGCTGTTCCCCTTCTACTGTCGTTTCGTCAGCCTGCTCATTTTACCCAATCAGATATTTATTCCGTTCCCTTTTGAGGGCCGTGATGTAACCTACCGCCATCCCACGCTCAGGCAGTGCACTCCAGACTCCCTCACCAATTGCCGCATTAAAAGGATTTTCCTCGACTCTCCATTGCTTCATTTGCCGTTCACCTTAAATCTGTGGCTTCTGGTTCTCACTCTTCCCCTGCATCCCCAGCACCCCCACCACCACCACAGGAACAGTTTGTCCTTATCCACTTTGTCCAGACCCTTTATGGTTTTGAACACCTCGATCAAATCTCCTCTCCAATTTCTCGAAGGCCATGGGCTTGAGTCTCAGCATGGCAGATGTTGAAAATAAAATACTGGAATAAAAAGCCTAAAGATGACCATGTAACAACTGTTAATTGTCATAAATATCCATTTGATTCACTAGTGTTGTTTGAGGGATGGAAATCTGTTACCTAGTTTGGCCTACATGTGACTCCAGACCCACAACAATGTGGTTGACTGTCGGCAATTAAGGATGGACGAAGATTGCTGGCCTAGACAGTGATGCCAACATTGTGTGAACACATTGAAAACTTGTATAGAATCTCCTCTTGTCCCCATGAGAAACAGTCTCAACTTATAGAGTCATACAGCTCGGAAACAGACCCTTCGGTCTAACCAGTCCATGCCAACCATAATCCCAAACTAAACTAGTTCCACCTGCCTGCTCCTGGCCCGTCTCCCTCCAAACTTTTCCTATTCATGTACTTATCTAAGTGTCTTTTAAATGTTGTAATTGTACCCACATCCACCACTTCCTCAGCAAGTTCATTCCACACGTGAACCACCCTCCGTGTAAAATAATTGCCCGTCATGTCTTTTTTAAATCTCTCTCCTCTCACCTTAAAAATGGGCCCCCTGGTCTTGAAAACCCCCATCCCAGGGAAGAGATTTCCCAGGATGTTGCCAGCTATGGAAGTTTTGAGTCATAAAGAAAGACACTTACCATTAACATAATCTATGATTTTATAAACCTCTATAAGGTCACCTCTCAACCTCCTACACTCCAGTGGATAAAGTCCCAGCCTTTCTTTATAACTCAAGCCTTCCATTCCCGGCAACATCCAGGTAAATCTCTTCTGCATCCCTCTCCAGCTTAATAATATTCATCTTATAACAGGGCAATCAGAACTGAGTTTCTCACACCTGGAATGTCTGCTGGAGTCTTTCCAATGTGTTCACATCCTTCCTGAAGTCTGGCACACAGAACTGTTCACAATACTCTAGCTGAGCAGTAACTAGTGGCTTTTTGTACAAGTTCAATAGAACCTCTGCACTCTTGTATTCTGTGCTCATTCTTGCTCCTTGTGATAAGATGTGTGTTGCTTTTATATATTTTCATTTTTAGAGTTTGGAATTTAAAATTGTGGCTTATTGGTGTTTATTTTCATGAAGGGCGTCTAAGAAATAATTAGGTCACTTAGTCCTTTGGAACAATGTGTGAGAGAGCATGGACCTCCTGCAGTGTTAATGGAAATTTGTTTTTACTGTGGTGGTTCATTACAGGTGAGGTAAACATTGAAGGTCATTAGCTTGTTTTTGATTTAGGATAATCAAGGATTCATTTTTCCTCATAAAACCTGAAAATTGAAAACTTTTCGGGCAGTTAGGATGACTAGGGTCAGAAGAAAATACAGCTCAAATCTGAGAAAGAAATCTAGGACAGTTTCGGGAAAGCAGTTAGCTTAGTTGAGAGGTTATGTTTATGAAACTTAAAGCGCGGGAGTGTTTGGTGGGAAATTGTTAGCTTATTAAGAGCTAAGAAACTATAGTCTTAGTTTGGCGAGTATTCAATGAAGATGACTTTAAGTTCACAGGAAATGATTCAGTTAAATGAAAGATTTAATTAGAGAGACAAATTCTCTGGATTTGAGTATGACGCACCCAGTCATACTGGGATCATCACACCTTGCGAATAAAGTCTAGGATACTGCATTCTATTCTTTATGATTGTTTGTTCAAGGTTGCTGATTGTCTTGAAATGAGCCTTCTTAAGCTTCAGACTGCAGTAGCAACCTGCTGTCAAAACTGATTCACGCAGACTTGGCAGACTGCGAGAACACGGTGCAGGCCAGATATTGGATTACACGCAAAGGGAGGCGGGGAAGGGAGAAGAGAGTAAACCTGGGGCTCAGGCGGTAACAGAGAGAGGAATGAATGAGGTGGGGTAAGGATGTGGCTCCGCATTTTCTGCGGAGGTGGCAGCAGTAACCTGGTACCAGGGAGTGGAACGGAGACAGCAGCAACCAGGAAGGGGCTGGATGAAACCTCGGCATTGTGTTTACTGTGGATAAGCCATGGAAGATGGTTTCTATTGTTAGGTAAATCATGGACCAGGAGACAGAGAGTGAGAGTTGCCAGAATAGCCTCCAACTTGAAAATCACCAGCTCTAATACACCATTCACTTTGGCTGTAGTGGGAAGTGACCCTTTCTTGGATCCACAAGTTCTGGGTTCCAGTGCCTACTCAATTTGATGGTTTAGAAAAGTGTGTTTATAACCTGACACAAACAGGTTGAGTAAGTTCATTGATCCGTGCATTCAGTTGAACTTCCTGATTTATAAAAGATGTTATTAAACTTGAAAGGGTTTGGAAAAGATTTACAAAGACGTTGCTGGGATTGGAGGGTTTGAACCATAGGGAAATGTTGAGTAGGCTGGGGCTATTTTTCCTGGAGTGTTGGAAGCTGAGGGGTGACTTTATAGAGATTTATAAAATCATGAGGGGCATGGATAGGGTAAACAGCGAAGAACTTTTTTCCGACAGTTGGGGGGGGGGGGTCCAAAACTAGAGTTCAGGTTTAATGTGAGAGGGGAAAGATTTAAAAGTACATGGCTAGATTCTCTCTCAATGGTAACCCCCAGTAGCCTTTTGTAGAAGGCACACACTGCTCCCGTCACCTTGAGGGGAACAGAAACCCAGGCTGTGTTTAAAGGGTAAGACTGAAGGGACCATTTTTACATGCAGATGGGTGGTGTGTGTATGATCTGCCAGAGGGAGTGGCAGAAGCTGGTACAATTACATTTTAAAGGTGTTGGGATGGGTACATGAAGAGGAAGCGTTTAGAGGGATATGGGCCAAATGCTGGCAAATGGGACTAGATCAGTTTAGGATATCTGGTCAGCATGGATAAGTTGAACTGAAGGGTCTGTTTCCATGCTGTACAGCTCTATGACTCTTTGATCACCCAGCACCAAGGTCAAAGAGCCTGCCAACACTGGCCACCTGGGCATCAACGCAACATGTAGCCACTTCAGCAAATTTATCAGAGGACGGAGGAACGAATTGGGATTTCAGTAGGAAAGAGTTCTACAGGAAGGGAAATGCTGTCAAAGATGGGCTGAATGGCCTCCACGCACAGTTTAAGTGCAAGATAAAGAAACGTAAAATGTGTGCATTTGCCAATGTGACCAAGGAAAGTTATTGCAATGTTGTGACGGTGGTAGGTGGGCAAGGTGGGAGAAACAGGGAAGACTCCAGTCACCTGTGTCCCCATCTCTTGTCATTCCACGATTGACCAACTTTAAGAAGCCATTCGCTCGAGTTCGATTAAGTCCGCCTGAGACTCACCCTTTGTCCCACCCTCGTTATCACTTAGCAACAGGCGCGGTGTGACGTATATTTGATGGGCGGCTCCTCTGACCATTAGGAATGGGGATGGTTTGATTGGCAGAGTTTAGTCCAATTAGGAATCAGGTCCTCCGCTAGCGCCTGAGTAACGGCATTCGCAACCAATAAGAAAAGCTGTCCGGCTGATGGACACATGGTCCCGACCAATCCACGAGAGGACACCGACCATATTGGGGTCCGGTCAACCGATTAGGCACCGGGACAGGGTGGGGGCGGGCCACCATTAAATTTCCACTTACAATCTGTAGTTTAAAAAAACATACAGCCTCAGCTCGAACATGACGATAAAAAGAATCTGTGCCCATCGGTATAACCATCTTAATTTCATTTTTATAAAAAGACTGCGAGCGACTGACAAATTCAAATCACTGAGAGAGCGCTCTCGGGAGCCGACTAACGGATATCTACACCAGACGGCTCTCGCTCTAATGACGGACTTTGTGGGTGGCCAATAGAAAAAGGGGATAGAGGGGATGGACGTGGCCAACGACCAGTCGAAGGTAAGACCCCGCCTTACCCATGGGGCGATACGTCCAATGGGAGAGGGTCGACCGGTAGGTGGCGGTCGACGAGGTCAAACGGTCTGGGAGCCAATGGATAGGAAGGGAACCGTGATGATGGATGTAGGTAAGAACCAATGGGTGCCTGTGAGAGGCGGGCGTTTGTTCCGGTGAGGTCAGTCAGACAGGGAACCAATAGAATGGGTGCTACCGCTGAGGATGGACGTGGATTATATCCAATAGATATCAGCGCCTGCCGTTTGCATCCGGTTGTTGAGGTCCGTCTGCCAGGAAAGGGCGGGGCAGAAGATGATGGACGTTTATCTTACCCAATAGTCCTGTCAGATTCCAACACGGCCGTCAGGCCTGGACCAACGAGTGCGGTTGGAGGGCGGCAATTTCCGGTCAGTGAGGGCAGGGGGCGGGTTTTGGAAAGTCCTTTGGGGTTTGGGGGGGAGGGGAGTGCGTTGGGAAGATGGGTGCCTGGAGTCAGTGAGGCCGCGGTGGCGGCCGAGCGGTGTCTGAGCCGCCCCCACCCCCAGCCCGTACGGGACGCCGGGTGGGAAGAGGAAGAGGCCCGGGCCTAGGATGGGCTCGCAGGTGCTGCAGATCCTCCGCCAGGGAGTGTGGGCCTCGCTGACCGGCGGCTGGTACTTCGACCCGCACCAGAGCAAGTTCTCCAACTGCTTCCACCTCTACGTCTGGCTGTTCCTGCTCTGTTTCCCCTTCCTGCTCTACATGGTGAGTGGGTC